GCGCCAGTGCATTTGTTCTTTGTGTTCTCTCAAATCCTAATCTTCTGGGTTCTTCAACACCCCTAGTTTTTACATTCTAAACTTATCTCACTGAATCATACTTCTTGAATAATATCTTCTAATTCTAACCTCTCCGATTACTTCTAATACCTTTACTACCCCTTCTACTATTGGATTTGAATTGACAATTATACCTAGCACTCGTTTCCTAACAACAGCGTTGCTTACTCGGCTGTCCCACGATACACGAGCAGTGCTTTGGAGATACCTATGATCAAAATCCAGTAACCTACGAATATCTTCTACTCTCGCCGGCCATGTTTGACAGTCATAAAGTCGGACGTCGCCAACTACAACGCAGTAGACTCGTCCTTTAGTTAGCAAACGGATATCTCGCCGGCACCACAAGTGACGCCAGTTGGCAAAAGCCAATCAAACCTTCTGTATCCGAGCTGAGATTTCGTCAGTCACCAGGCCATCAGCACTGATGAGACTCTCCAGATACGCGAAGCGGTCTACACGTTCGACTACTTCACTCCCTATCACTAGTTCAGGTTCCAATGTAACCCAATCTTGAAGCAACATTTTGCATTTCGAGGGTGAGAACCGCATCCCGAACATGCTTGCATTGTTGCTTAGGGTAGTCAGAAGACTGCATTTTTTTCAGCGTCTTCACCAAACAGAACTATGTCATCGGCATATTCTAAGTCAACCAATGAGTCTCCTGGAAGAAGGTCTACTGAAATTCAGACGAAGATAATGTTATATTTAGGAGCTTGTATATGACAAAATTGAACAAGAATGGGGAAAGTGGACATCCCTGACGGACACCACTTGAAGTAAAGAATTCCGATGACAGTTCGCCATAAGCTCTAACTCGACCTGTAGTGTTCGAGTAGAGAGCTTGTATAAGGTTAATGTACTTCTTTGGTACACCTCTCAATGACAGACACTGCGCACAAGCGACTATCTACTGGGATCCAGTCTAGGTGAGATTGTTCAGCTCTACGACTAAATGCTATAACTACACCAGCGAGACCCCGGGAAGCAGCATCAGGGCTACCAGATACAGTAAATCGGGCTGCTTCTTTGTTTTGACAAGGCGAAATCAGATTAACGACTTTACTAGGATCCTGTATGCGCGTTTCCGAGGCGCTGCATACATCGATGGCACGAGATTCTATTGTCCTAGCTGCTCAGGAAGCCTGTTGCCCTATTTGACAATGTCCGTACATTAAATGCTCCAACATGTAGTATAGAACGAGGTTTAAGGAGACCAGAAATGACGTTTCGTGAACCTGTTCGTTTGCATTAGCTGTGCAGTGTGATAAAGGAATGTGAGAAGAGTTAGTCGTGGAGATAAGAGAGGTATTAGGGGGTGTGGGAAGGATTTGATTTTGACGAATTTGGTCTCGTGAGCTGTTACGGGTATGAGGGCGGTTGTCACTTCCCGGCTGTCCACACCGTGGAAGGTTATTTCTAGAGGAACCTGAAAAGGAAGATAGATTAGTGTTGGTCTTGGAGACCTGGGAGCGTGACCGCAGAGCCCAAGGGACGACTGTCTGAGGCCGGTTACGCACGGCCTTTTTATGAAGGGTTTTTTGAGTGTTGGCTCCGCTCTTGAAAGCCCTTAGTGGGCACCCTTACCCAAGGAGACGGAAATCCATGAGGTAGGGTGGGGTGTGACATTTTAGGGTCGACCTTTTCTAACCCTTCCTTCCTTGTGAGAAGGCAGCATCGCTGCAGATGCTGGTTATTCGAGGGAAACACCTTACTGCTGTCACACCCCTCTGCGGTCAGCAGTACGACTTCGCCCTCAGACCTTGAGTAGCTGCTTTTAGTCTCATCGTTCTCCAATCGTCCTGCCTGGTATGGCAGAACCTTCAGGAACATAAGTACCAGCCAATAAAGCTCGGTTGGGTCACTACGATAGGCAAGCCCGACCACCACGTCAAGGTAGCAGCTACGGTCGGGATTCTCTTATGATATATGATGCATATCCTAACAATTATGCTTAGATAAGATTTTACCTTCATATTTAGTACTAGCTTAAGTAATGGTGTGAATATATGAGATTATACTTGCTTTAGTTTATAATTTTTTAATAAAAACGTACACATTCACGTCCGTCCACCACGTCAAGGTAGCACCTTCGGTCGGGATTCTGTTGCGTAGGCTTTATATCAGCCTGCACCTAAGCTGACTCTGCTCCTCATCGCACTCAGGGCCAGGCGGGATGGGTTTTCGAGCATCCATCAGTTCGGTAGATGCTACTGAGATCCACGGCTTCTTGTTTTATCTCAAAAGGTTGTAAAAACTAGGTCGTATTATCCATGCACAAAAGATGTAGTCTTTTATCTACTGTATAGATTAGTGGGTTGTTTCTGATAACTTAATTATGCATTATAACGCTACTATCTACTACACAGTAATTCATTTGTACCAGTAATCTGATATCTTACCCGCACAGTTGGAAATAATTTCATTTGATGATACTCCTTATGAGCCTTGACATCTTCTTTATCACCAACTATGTATACCATATGACATTGACGGCATCTAGTACTACCAAATTCCTTTTGTCCACAATCAAGAGTCAGTTGGATCTTTCTTTCTTGATTGAAGTATTTCATTACAGGATTAGATCATTACAAAATTGATTAGACACTAAAAAACAAAGTACTTGATTTGATTATGAGACAAGAGTAACCACGGTAAGATTTATTATTAATGCTACAGAATGCAAAGTGATGTTCATATTTCAGCTAGTGATACACACCCTAGGACGTGGCACATTTGTGCGACGGTCGCCACACCTTATTAGCATAAGATGGTACTAAATGTGTTGCAAAATCGCATGGGTACTATAACCTTATTCGATTGTTTCAACAGAAGCTGATAATTGCTAGACAAAGCTATTCTGTAATCTAATAGCTAACAGTGTAATGTTAAAAGAGTAATCTCTATGGTATTAAGGGGTTAGACTGGATCCAAAAGTCATTAACTACATGCTCTTGAGAATCAATCTCACCAACAGTTTGCGGTTGGTTTTTTAGCATACCTAACCTGAAAACCTACAGTTGTTTGTCTTTAGAGAAATCCCTTTAGCATATGAAGGGACTACAGACTTAATGGTAGAAACTGAATTTGTAACCAAAACAGCGCACGTCATAAAAGGAATTGCTAATCTCATTGTACCAAGGCACATAGCTTCACTCATACGAAAGAATTATTTACGACTTATACGGAAATCCCTGTTTTAAGCTATCAATCTAAACACAGATACTGCCTACGCAGAACCGATAGGTAACGTTACAAAGCATTACTTATATTTGGCCGGATGATAATGCTAATAACGGCCTTGGGAAGCCATGAATTGTTTATTTCTATCCTTTAA